TAATATAGAATTGTTTTTGCTAGTATAAAATAGTACAAATTCAATCCTATTGATTTCTGATATTATTTTTGCGTTTTTCTTTTATTTTGAATTGGTCCTGCCAACTTAATATTGAGCTAGCACCACCACGATATTTTTTGAAATGGCACATGGTACAAAATTATCATTAATGGTGCAATTTAGTACAAAATGAATACTAAAAATTCCGATAGGTCCGATTTAATTCTGCTGATTTGGTCCGGCGAACTTTGTAAAGCTCAATTAAAACGCGCTTCATGTAACATTTTAGCCATAGTTTCAACATAAAAAAATTTAGATGTAAATGCAGGTCTAGTTTAGTGTTATGCTGGTTTTTTCTCCAAAAAATAATATTTCCATATGAAACCTTTTGTGGGAATTCTTTCTTATATTGTTGGAAAAGCTCGTACAGAGCCGAATTTTGAAAATTGGTTATTGAAAAATTACAATAAATAAAATTACATGCGCCCCAACTACACTACAGTACACATCGGGTTAGATATCAGAACAGATTTTTATTTTGCCTTAAAAAAAAATTACTGTACGAGTCTTCAGGTGATTTTCCTGATTATGAATGTCACAATTAAAACGCTATTCATGCAACATATTTTAGCCATAATTTCAGCATAAAGAAATTCGTCTCCTACAAGAGGTCTACTCTATAGTCTGTACTGTGAGGACTTGTGATACCGTGCGGGAGATATATAATATGCATAATCAGCGGCGCGTACACACAACTGACTGGATAACGAGATCGATATTATGGCGGACGGTGGCCGTTCAGTGTTCTACGTGCGCCGCCTTGTGCACACAACAAACACGAATGCACGCACGCACGCACGCACTATCAATGAAAGATGTCGATGTACACGAAAAGGTATCGCAGCGGCAGCGATGATTTACATAAGATACACGCACACGTTCTATTACTAGGATAAAAAAATTAAAAAATTTAGTATTGTGAGAAGTATTAAAAATTTTTCTTTATCCCACAGACAAATATGTGTATGTGCATGTGCATTTTACACAGGTAAAATCTTATCAATTTGTAGCGAACGACTTTGCCTTTGCTGCAGTTCTTTCGTGGCACGAGCAAAATAAAAGTGCGGATTGAGCGACAAACGAAGTGGCGATAATATGCATGCTCGACTTGACGGACGCGAGACCGGCGAGACCGGCGAGACCGACAGTGAGATCAAGTGAGATCGTTGCGAATACAATCGGCATCTCGTGTCACGTTTAACACGCGTCTAACGTCGACGAGGCCTTCATAACCACAATACTCTGCGAAACCACATAGTGATTTGTGTCACACCTAGTGCGTAAATCGCGCGGCTGATAGACGCGACGCGAGGCAATCCACTTTCTGGGGCGGTATTTGCCCGCATCCCTCGTGCGTTAATCGTGGTTAATTCAGCTTATCGGCTTGTTAGACGCTAGTCTTACGAGATGAGCTCGACAGACCGATAAACGTGGCGAGAATTGGGCACGTATTGCAACGTATCTTACTACCCTGACCGTATTTATACAAATTTCGAGCAAAATCCGGAAATGTTTCCGAAGAAACGCACCGTTTATTACACGTGCCACGAGGAAGCTGCAACAGAAATGTTAAATGACATGAAAAATTAAAAAAAATTTACGAAAGGAATAAGATATTGAAAGAACTGAGATGGAGAAAATGCTACAAAAGGGAGATTCAAAAAGGAACGTGTGAAAGTGTAATTAAGGAGGATCCTTCCAACATGCTTGAATAATTAAATGTTCGTTTTTTAAAATTTATTCCAACGTAACTCCCTGCTTCTTTTCTGACGCAACGCGTCAGAAAGTTATATGCTTATGATTAGTCTCATGATGTCAGTAGACACTAATTAATAGTACTATAACATGGATATTATAATACTTAATATTTTGTAATTATAATAATGTAACACACTTACGTAACAGTTAGTTTACAGTGAGATAACTTGAACAGGGTAACAGAAATTTTAAAATTGTATAAAAGATTGAGATTGCATAGTGCATTCCAGGTGAAAAATCTACATTAATCTCTCTGTTGTTCTAATTAATTTATTCAGGGGAGCAAATTTTGCGGTCACCCGAGCCGAGTTTGAATCAACGTATGATCCGAGAACGATTCGACTAGGTGTGCCTGCTGCACATTGCAGCCTTCGGTATGGACCGACATTCCAATAGTACTGCAACTATCTGTACTTGATCACCTCTCACCATGTTCTGCCAGCGACAATAACAACATGTTCACGATACTACTAATAAAACGTGCAACTTCTTTACAGTTCAAATTATGCGCACGGACTTTTTATCTCGCTCTTCCATGTTAACAAAATATATATGCAAAAAAGAAAAATATGCAAAAAAAATTAAAAGTATGGAATGCCAACTTGACGTTTTTCGCGAAACGAAAAAAAGTTGGTTGCTTTACATTTACACGACCGAAACAGAGAATCTAATGAACGCATCTATCTGAAATTTTAACAGCAGCCCTGTGCAGGATCAAATTTATCTAAAATTATAGCGATTTAATATGTGTGGTCATTTTACTGATGTCTGGCCTTTTCGAAAACTTTTCGAATAATCTTCGTATAAGTAGAATTTTTAACCAGTCTTTGAATGTTGCTTTTACATTTCGTAAATATTTCGAAATATTCCAGAGTACTATTAAAATGTTTCTTTTTTTATATTTTAGGAAATCTTTTTATAAATATTTCAGAAATATTTAGCGCTAGAGTTGTGTAAACCATCACATTCCATATAATGACTAAACGTATCGTGAGCAAAGAGTGTGCATTAAATTTTGCCAAAAACTTGGCAATTCTTGTTTTGAAATCATCGGTGTAATTCGTAAAATTTATAGAAACAAATTTATGAGTAATAGACAGATTAAAGAGTCGGAGCAGTGTGTCACCATTTTCTTCGGCCAGGAAGACATATGAATACGATCCAAAAGATCAGACGTTAAACAAGGAGTATTACCTAGAAGTTCTAAAGCGGTTACGTGATGCAGTGAGAAGAAAACGGCCCAAGTTGTGGAAAAGTGGTGACTGGATATTTCACCACGACAAAAAGCACCTACCCATTCATTGCATTCTTGTCCAATAATTCCTGATGAATAAACACGACATCATGTAATTTCGTCAATAGTCCGTATAGTCCTGACGTAGCTCCATATAGAACTTTTAGCTGTTCCCCAAAGTAAAAAATGTTTTAAAAGGAAAAAGATTTGAGGACGTATAGAGGACATAAAAGGAAATACGACGAGGCAGCTGTTGGCTATTCCGAAAGCTGACTTTAAGGAATGCTTTCGGAAGTGGGAGGGTCATTAGAAGAAGATTGTGGTTTCCAAAGAGGAGTACTTCGAAGAGGACATTATATAGTTGTTGATTAAAATTAATCTCTTTTTCCTGCTACAAGTCGGATACTTTCCGGACAGTCCTCGTACATACATAATACAATAAAGCGGTACAGCTTAATCCATTAATTTCTCTAGCCATAAATCAGTGAATCAAGTATAAAAATCGATAAAGTCATTATAGCAATACAAAGTTTCAAGGAATAATTTAACTGTAAAAAAAAATTATAGATTGCTCGTTTGTTTTTCCTTCAGTTTTTTCCAAAGCCTATTTTACAATGTGCTCTTCGTTTTCCATTTCTTGTTTTTTATCTTTTGCTTTTTTCTCCTTTGCAACCGTTTTATCGACAATTGTATTTCTTGTTTCTTTCAAAGTTCGTTAACTTTTATCTCAGGCGATGTAAAACAAAAAACCGGATAGAAGCGAAGAAACAAGATGTAAAAAATAGCAAAAAGCAAGAAACAGGAAACAGAAAGCACATTGTATAGAACAGGCTTAACAACTAGTGTCTCACCCACCCTCAAGAAACAAAACAATTTATTATAAGCAATAATGTAATACACATAATGCACACATAATAACACTGATAAAAGTTTGCTTCTTGCAGCGAGACAGCATATCTCATTGTCAGTTTCAATAATAATACAACAGAAAGAAAAAATGAAAAATATAAATGCGACCAAGTTTGATTTTGTTACGTACCTGCATATTTAGTAATCTACTAAAAACATAGCCGATTACAATCGCGTTCAGGGCGTCGATTGTGTATCTTGAAACTGGTAGGTTAAAATTACAAAAATGTATAAATTCACTAGATAATAATAAATAAAATTATAAATATCCTAGTAAATATTTGTTCATTTTCATAACTTTCACCATATTTCGAGATATACTCGAAAGAAATCGATTTCCAAACTCGAATACTTGAAGAAAATTATGCAGTAGGCTACCGCATCTTACCCTGGTTCTACGTTAAACCGGAAGTACAATTGAAAAACGCAGGTAACAGGATTCAACTTGACATCGTACCGTGTATACCAAAAGTACTTTAGTCGCAAATCGATTGCAAGTACAATTTTAAAATTTACGCTTCAGTTGTTGCTGCCGCAACAAACTTGCGATCGATTTGCGTTCGAATCCAACTCAACGTAGAATCGCAAAGAATTAAATATTCTTAGACAATTTTGTAAAAAAAAGAATATCACAGACATGTTCCCTACTTAGCATTATTTCGATTGAACAACTTTGTACACGCCGATGTCCCTTTTTTCACAATAATGTAATACTTTCAAAGTGCGACGAGGTGTTTCAACACGGTTTCAACGATATTCAAGATCGTTTAAGTGTATAAAAGAACAATTCTTTTATGTCCCGACAGGATTTACCGCGACTCGAAAATTCGTCGATATTTGAGAAAAGCTGCAGTACCCTATGACTACTCTCGCGAGAGCGTTATAGCTTTTTAATACGGTAATGATCGATTATTGGAAAATGTTTATTTTAGGAAAGTACCTGATAAGAGCGAAACTATCGAAATTCACATCTCGCACATACTTGATAAGTACAGACGCAAAAAACAAAGAAAAAAAGAGGTATTGAAAGAAAGCTCACTGTTGAAGACGAGTAGCTTCCGCGTGGAACCAAGCCGCTTGATGGGTGACTTGACGCCGTCGATCTCCTCCTCGTCCATGATCCCGGCGACGGCGACGGCAATGTGCTTATGTGCTTACGTGCTTGTGTGCGGACCTTGATTTCCTCGGCCTCCGGCTTTCTCTTTCTCTTTCTCACGGGCAAACGGCCAAACGCGCCCGCTCGCGTGCGCTCGCGTGCACCGTACGCACTCACACGCACTTGCTTATATACGACACGTCGACAATGTCGACATGCGACGCGACGCGACGCTACCCTACGCGCGCACGCTGCCAGTTGCGTGTCTTTCTATTGCCGCGCGCGAACGGCAAACGGAAGTCAAACTGAAGGTAGATGCGAAACGCGCGCGCGTGAGAGAGAGAGAGAGAGAGAGAGAGAGACTCGCCACGTTCAGACTGTTCAGCAGAGTGTTCTCCCGAGAGCGCGAGCACACGACTCACACGAGGCACGAGCCGCACGAGGCGCTCCTCCACACAGCCGTGCCTGTGCGTCGCGTCGCGTCGCGTCGGGCCGGAACCGGTTTACGCGGTGAACGGCCGATCTGTCAGTCGGCCGTTAAATAGGAGAAAAGAGCCAAGTAAAATGCAGCCGTTTTCGTATGGATGTATAGAATCCGATTCTTCGAACGTGCACTCGCGAGTCGCGTTTATTCGCCGCGTAGCGCTGCGCGAGCAATCGGCGAAGCGGAAGCGATTACCGATCTGCGATTACTCCGAAACCGAGTTAATCGAACCTGTGGCCACTTAGCTACTTGGCTAGGCAGCTGGCAGCTTGGCAGGCGCCCGATCGAGACGTTACGTTCAATTCGACTGACCGAGGTCGATCGCGATGAGGCACAAGCACGCCAAGTACGTTACTTGAACGGCTACTCGCCGCGTAATGTCTGCCTATCGGTGTCGGTTCGCCGCCTTGGCTGTCCTCGAGGCAGTCGCGGCGTGGATATTCTTGGACGACGAACATATATTAAAGTCAACTTCGAAAGCTCTCCACCACTGCCGCCACCGCACCGGTGCCTGCCGCTCGAACGACATCGTCGTGCTCGGATAGAACGCGCGAGTCGCGTCTCGCTGTCGTTGCCTGGCAACCAATAAAATAATTGCTCCGCTCGAGTGACCGATGGAATCACTGGCGCCATCCGTTGAAGAACATCGTACTAAACCGTGGGCATGCGAGCGATTGCAGAAAATTCATTTCATGGTCATGGAACTATCTTCGCTATATCTCGATATATTAATTAAAACTGGCATTCATAGTCGGTTCTTATTTTAAGATTGTCTCAAGTAATGTCTTAAGATGCTAATACAGCCCTCTGATTGGTTCGTAACATTTTAAAACTGTACTTAGGACAATCTTCAATATAAGATTTGACTATGAATACCGGCCCAAGATCGCGCGGAGTTTATTATTTGACGAATCTGTCACATGTTTGTTACCGACAAGATCCTTGTCATTTGAGAACAAATGTAATGTCAAAAATGGCCGAATTTCTATTGTAAAATAAATGAAGAAAAAACCGTTTAGTTTTTATTAGTTATAATCATATTCTTGCCACATTGATTAGAAAACACAATTTACGTACACGCCCACGCGCAGACACAGGGTGTCGGGTAAAGACCAATTAAAAATATATATACATATATTTTTTTAATTATATATTATAATCAATGTTCTCAATAATAAAAGATCTATTCTGATTAAGTAAAAGATTGTATATCGTAATAACATTTTTATCAATTATTTTCATAAATTTTATATATATATATATTAATATACTTTTTTTTTTAATTAAAGACATAAGGCAGATATCAAAACAGTATCAAAATATTTTTTTGTTTGAAACTCAGTCTCAGAAATTTCTGTGTCAACTAATTATATATAACGGATTTTCTGCCTTTAAATTAGATTGTACATTTTTGCAGTTATATGATATATACAAATATACAATATTTAGCCTACAATTTTGTCTGTAATTACAATGGATACACAATGTCATCGCGATCGCGATTAATAAGAGATAAACTATCATCAGAGTGGTATTATTGTTGGTGATAAAATATCGAAAAACACACTGGATTCACAGTCATGAGAGGGACGTAGTTGCCGATCGAAAATCCTTATTAGGTTCACAAACATTTGACGTCTGAAAACGCTTCGTGAAGACATTAACTTCATTATCCTCAAGTCTCCTTTTTGCGTTTCCATTCTCGCTCGATGTCGGCTTATTAATCTTCTGATATAAGTTTTGTGCGACGTGGAAATCTACATGTTCGCTGAACTTTGTTATAGGTATCATTTGATCGCACTCAGCACATCGCTCTAGAGGCACATTATACTTGTCCGAGTTGGTCTTGATCAGGAAATTATACAGGGGACTACGCCTCTTGTCGCTCTTGCCAGCGAGTGTGGCCTTGCTGGATCTTCCTCTTCCCGTTTTCGGCAACTCCCAAGCGATCTTAACATTCTCCTGTTTCTTACCTCGCGATTTCATATACAATTTTGCTTCCTCCTGCAAATCGGCTGGCAACAGAGATAGGATGTCTGGATCTATATCGTCCAAGTCTGGAAATATTTCTCGTAGTTGCATCAAAGGATCTTGTGCACAAGTCCTTTTGTTATTCTCCTCTGTAAGCTCTTCATTATTCATGCTATTTACATGCATATGTATATGCCTTGTGGAAGGTGTTTCATAAACATTTACTTGTCTGCGTAAATCTATGTTGTAATCATCGATATTCTCATCATTCGCACCTTTTTCACTCGCATTAGACACAATCAATCGTTTTCTACATTTCGATTCTTCCATAGTATTGGTGCTTTCGTCAACATTACTATAACATTTTTTCTCCTCTGTCTTGTATACGTTCATAAAGAAGGAATTTTGAAAGTCATTATTATTTATTACCATACCTGGTAGACGTTTATTCTTTGTTCTGGTCTTGTCGCGCTCGTTGCACACTTGGATTAGCTTGGAAACTCTTTTTGATGTAGGCGAATCCTCAGCGCTCGTATTTAAGTTAATGATTCTTTTGCTTCCCTTCATCATCCCTTCATTAGTTTTTGCGATTGATTCTTTGACTTTCTGAGACTTCTGTCTTTTACTTTCCAATGAATAAACTTCTTTGCTATTGGAAGGCGTCTTTTCTTTCGCTTCTAAATTGGACATCGAGTTCATCGTATGTCTATGTGAATTTAAAATAACGACTTCCTCGTCTTTCGGTTTGATATTTTTAAAGAATTTTAAGAAGCTACCGCTCTCTTTCGATGGTACAAATTTAGTAACAGAAATTCCCATGAATGCCACTGGGTACTGGGTGGACTTGGTGATAATGTCCACGCATTGATTCGCCATTTTCTCTGGTTTGTACGAGTTTAACGCAAGCGAACGCGTTTGGGATATGGTACTTCTGTTGTGATAATAATGATAAGAGATTACGAGTAGTGTAGCACGTCGTTGGTTCTCCTCAAAATCCTCTTCAAGCCGTTCGCACACTTCCGCTGCCAGATCCCCGGCCCAGTGCTTCAACTAAACATGAAATACATAGTTGTCGTGCAATCCGATAAACTATTTATAAATCCTTTATGTAATATTAGAAATTATATTTTGATGATTTTACCACTTCTAATGAAGTAATAGCTTGCTTCCCAGGAAATTTTTTACACGCCCCGATGGACTTTGCCAATAGTCTATTGGTGACAGGCTCGTCATCTATACCTCGAGCAATATTATACAGCCAAAATCTGAAGAATTAAAATTACGAGAATTATATATTATATGTTAGAAATGACGAATCATAAGTTATTATTGTTGAAACTTTGCTTACGCAAAAAAAAGCTTCATATTTACCCTGTCTTTTCGTCAAAATGCTTTTTTAATTGTTCCAAAGAATATTGCAATAGATCTCCCATAACTTTACAACCAAGAGAATCGACCACAACATCGCCAAACTTTCCACCGAGATTTCGGACCTTTTTCACTGGAAGCGTCGAGTACAAGCTTGAAACAGCTGTTTCAGGTAAAATTGTTTGGCGATTTGGTTTATGTAATCCACATGCTAGTTTTGCTAATATCTATACAAGTTGATCAGAACATTTTCGATTAATATGCAAATCATTAAAATATGGCGCACAACAAAATACAGAGAATGTAAAAAGAGTATTAGCCTTGTTCTGTGAAATTCCAGCAGAACATTTGAATCCGGTTTCTCTATATATACTATCTCTTATCTCCTCAACTATTATGCCAGCTACGGCGAGTCTCTGAGCTTGATCATTGTGCAGTTCTTTAAAAGAGTCTAGTATCCAAGTCTGTAGCCCTTTACACCTCTCTTCTGGAATGATGATATATTTGTTTGATACGCGTAACATCTAAATCATTCACTTCAAGTGTCAGGAGTAACTTTTACATTACCTTCGTCATTTTTATTAATTTCCGAATATCCTACGACATATGTATTTGCAAGAAATGATATCAGTTGTTTTGGAGAAACTTTAGATGCAGCTAATCTCTTATCAACAATATCCGTAATGTCAAGATATGCCTCATCAACACTAGCACGCTCCGTTACATTACAATGCTTTTTTATAACTTGGATAACCTCGCGACCGGCTTTTCTATATCTGTGTGTGACACAAATTATTAAATTAATTAAATCAATCATGTACCGAATAATTTTTAATTATATGTATATTAAGACTTTGAGAAGAACTTGATGTCTCTCAAAATAAGAAAAAATATTAAATAAATTGAGTTATGAAATACAAACAATTAACATATTATGTCCATAAAAATCTATTCCAACTGCAAACTATTACCTAGATGTATCTGCTTTTCCACGAAGGCATGGTACACTGACTAGAACTATATCCGGACACTTCTCTTTAGCTTCTTTACCTCTCATATGCCTAGTTACACCAAAATTCCGTGCCTCATAATTAACTGCTATTATCCTGCAATCATATCAAATATTACCGATATAATCGTATGGTCCTAAAGTCAATAAATATAACGCTTTTATACAAAAGAATTGAAATGAACCTACGATAAATCTTTTGGAGCTAAAGAAGACAGAAAGGAGTACATTTTTATCAAGTTTTCAGGGGAGGCATATTCGAAACAATTACCTTGAAGTTTAATTTGAAAACGGTGTGAGTGAAAACTAGATAAAATTAATAAATTCCGCTTACCCGCCCATCTCCCACTGATTATATTGGACAACAGCAAGTGGTTTTCCTTCATGTTGCGGTTGCAACTTGATTTCCACCTGACAGAAGAAGCAATCCATGTCAATCAGAACAACGATCCTGTTATTCGAATTCGCCATTTCGCTAAAATATTTATGAGACTAATTCACATGAGATTGATCAGCATAAGGTTAATTAAAAGTAAACGTTCTGCATACACCGATCTACACGAACGATTGCTTTGCTTAAATCAGAGAGAAACCTGAGAGAGGACATGAGGACCTTTTTTTTCTGTAATCGTAAAATGCCTCCGCGCACTACTGCCCTCTGAAGAAGTGGATGTAAACTACACAATATCCATTTTTGCGATGCTCCTCTGGTGGAAATAAATCGCTGAAATAATTAAAATCTATCAAATTAATAAAGATTTGAACGATTTCAGCGATTTCTTTCCATTAACAATGGCAAAAAGAAATAGATATTGTTGCCTGTCTAGCTTACATCCACTTCTTCACAGGGCAGTAGTGCGCTGCCGTGCATTTTGCGGTTGCAGGAAAAAAGTCCTCACATATCCTCTCTCAAGCTTCTCTCTGATAGCATACTGAAAACAACTAATTAAATTTAGGTCCAAATACACTTTCCTGCGTATAATAGTAGTGGCTACAAATGCTACAATATAGTTTTATGAGTTAGTTATGTGCCATATGCATGTGCATGGGTACATTTATAAAACTTAGATCAACTCTTGTACCTGTCGGTCTATATTTTTAGATCTAATGAAATATGCCAATCAGATGCAAGAGCTCACTGAGCTGAGCACTCATCAGTGACCGGTCGTGCTTCTGGATGCACCACATGCCCCATGACTTCCACCATCTCGCCTCGGCTGATCTCGGCTTAAGCCGCTCAAGTCTACGTACTCTACGTCAGTTGTTGACACGTGCTCGATTTAACTTGGAACGTTACGAGACTGCGTCAATTTTGTGGTTAACATCGTTTAGGAAGACGAGGCTTATCATGGCAAAATTGGGTAAAATAGATTACTGAAAATCTCACACAATGAATGGCAAAGCGACAGGCAATAATCGCATGTTTAGTCTGTTTGCGTAGCAATCGGCAAAAAAAATCAAGCAGTTAATTTATGCGGTGTAAATACTATTAATGCCGAGACAGAGACACTGCCGTGTCTCCTGACTCCTGATACTTCTTATTGGTGTCTGATTGTGAAACAGAAAAAAAGATTTATTTTATTTTTACACGCTATTATATTAATCACATATGTACGCTGTTTATTTATAATTGACTATATTTTACGGTAATTGTGAAGGAGACGGGTTTCCTCACCGATTTCGATGAAATTAGGCTTATTCGACGCGTTTTTGCACGAAATGAAAAAATCTGACAGAAAAAGGTGTTACTCTGTCCTGCGAATCGAGATATTAAACATTAAAGTTGACGACTATTGAGGTTAGGAAATCTGTCAGCTATAAAGTTGTACTGTAAGTGCAAGCATGCGCTGCGATCATATTTTCATACTCTGTGACTTCATGCGCATGTGTTTTAGTAGGTACTTTTCCTGTAATAATAAATGGGCACGCGAAATTTAAATCGAATAAGAATAATCAAACAAATCAAGTGCAATAGTAAAAAATTTGAGTAATTATTTAGAATACTCCTCCCTTAAAATCTTAATAGAAAACTGCTTTACAAACACAAATTCATTGCTTTAAACATACAAATTCTCTGCATAGGCAGTGTTTGAAGCAATTTTTTAAGCAGAGAGAGAATTTTTATTTTTAAAGCTATGAAAAAACACATCGAATGAATTTTATCACCTAATTTCATCGAAATCGGTGAGGAAGAACATCTCCTTCACCTTACCTATTTACTTCTTTGGCTTAGGACATAATGACATGTCAAGTGACAGCGACAGTGGAGATGATTGGGAGGAAAATAGTGAAGATTACTATAACATTTTGTGCCTGTTTTGTATGGAAAATATTAATGGATTTCCCTCTGCATTGGACCATATTGAAATCTTTCACAAGTTTGACTTCTGTGATTTTATAAAGAAACATATTCACGACACTTACTCGTATATCAAATTAATCAATTTTGTTCGTCGCAATGAGATTTTACCAGAACAACTGAATACATTAGACGTAGAGGTTTGGGAAAAAGATGAGTATCTACGTCCTGTTGTGGAAGATGATCCATGGCTAATGTATGGCAAGTATACAGAACCAAGGCCATTATTTTATTGATGGCATTATATTTTCCAAAATTTATAATTCTGGGCTTGGCGTTCATGCCTATTGCCTTCCTTTTTTTTTTTGGAAATAGAAAAAGATACACTGCCACACTTGAGTCAATGCTCAGAATTACAAATATTGTATTGTGTTATGCAGATTATGCACTGAGTTGCAAATTTTATTATTTAATATAATGCAGACATTGAAGATCTTATCAAAATTAAGGATGTAAGTGAAGAAAGAGGTGTAAAACAGATGCAAAGTGACAACAGTGTGACTTTATCAGAGGCACAGTATGAAGATATGAAAAGAATTATCAGGTCGCTCAAATCTCAGCTGAAGGAAAGTGAGACAACGTGTTTTCTAATAAAGCAGGTATAGTTGTTATAATTATTACACATATTTCCATACGTGGCATAATGGTAATGAAAAAAAATTGCTTTTTCAGCAAATGGAGGAGATGAAAGAGAAGGCTCAGAAGTTAATACTAGGTGATGATTTGGACGAAAGAGAAAAGAATGCACAGGTTAATGCTCATAATTCTAACGTCGATGAAGGCTATTTCAATACATACAGTCACTTTGCTATACATCACGAAATGTTGAATGTAAGTTCTCTAATAGTACAAGACATTCTCAGGATGATTCTGACCGTATCCACGAATATTTAGGGACATATATGGGATATATTTAGGACAATATACTAAGATGAAAATTTCAGAATGTTTGGAGGAGCAAATGAGCGCGTAAAAATGTCCTAAATATTGCCAAAAACATTCTAATCTGAGGTTTTAAAGATGTCCATTTGTAATTCTTAGGATATATCTTTGAATCTGTCTGATATTCTAGGATTGTTGCTAAATGGCGTTATTTATCCAGTTGACCATTTTAGTCACTTTCGATCTATCTTATGTGTCTTACGTTATGAAATATTTGGTTAATTGCATTTATTTCTTTTTTTATTAAAAGGAATGTGATATTCAATTTAAGTGCTTTTTTTATGCACTTGTGGTGTATATTTTTTCTCTTTTAAAGAGATTTTTTTTAAGGTTTTTTATTCTTTATTTGTTATTCCTTACTCTCGTAAATTTATCAAACTCTGACTGAGGTTACATTTCTTCAAAGTTCTTTTAAATTAATAATATTTATCTATGAAAAAGTGATAGTGAAATATATTTTATTAGGATAAAAAACGAACGGAGAGCTATCGTGATGCATTATTAACAAATTCTAACAAATTCCATGATTGTATAATGTTGGACGTTGGTTGCGGAACTGGTATCCTGTCGATGTTTGCGGCAAAATCTGGTTGCAGTAAAGTTATCAGTGTCGATCAGTCTGATGTGATATATTGAAAGATTATATTGCAAATTAGATAGCTCTTATTTTCATTTAGATTCCATATGAGGAAAATGTAATAATAAAATATATTAATTGATTTTAGAGAGAACAACCTCAGTGATATAATCACTTTAAAAAGGGGTCGTCTGGAGGATATTAGTATAGGGGTAGACAAAGTGGATGCAATAATATCCGAGTGGATGGGATATTTTCTCTTGTTTGAAGGAATGCTGGACACAGTTATTTATGCTAGGGACCATTATTTGACGCCTGGTGGAACAATTCTTCCAAACAGATGTACAATTAGTATTGTGGGAAGTGGTGACACAAGTATGTGTTACAGTGTAATTCTTACTACAATAATATTAGTTATACTCCATATAATACGAGATCTCGCGCGTATTTAAAAAATAGTTTATTAAGCTCGTACTTATAGTCGTGTTTCTACTGAAGAACATCTGAAACTGATCCTGAGATGTGAAACAGTTTAATAGATGAATATCGAAAGTTGATTTGATATTAATAACTAGGATGTTCGGGCGCGATCCCGGGTCGCGCGCGGAGCACCACTGCGTGCTAGTGAGTCGAACATCCGGGCCCTATTAATAACTTCACATTAGTAATGGCGATTCAAGCGAGGAACTGAGATGAAATTTGTGTTTTGAGATATAACTTGAATTTTCGCGATTTAAGACCTTGAAATTCATGTGTCATTAACCTAACATGTCAATAATTTGATTTTGAAAAAGGTTATTTCGAACAACATTGTTAGAAATGTAACCACGAGCTTCCTTTACATGTAAATGAAGCTAGTGGTTATGAACGAAATTAAAAATATGATTGAACGAAATTAAATGAATGATTGAACTGAAAATTAATTAAGTTACAGTAGATACTTAAATATAATGAACGTGTACATTAAATTTAATGAAATTAAATTCAAATTGTGTAACTTAAAAGTATATAAAATTTCGTAAAATTTTTAACAGTAAAGCACAAAACATAGCTTTATTCAATATCTTGTATCTCTGAAGTTAAAGTCTCACATGTTTGAGAATCGTATGCTTCTCAGATTAATATAGTTTTAATTGATTTCTAATTAAAATATGACTATTGTATCGTTCGTATCTCGAGACAGAAAATTTCATTCCGAGTATTTCACTTGATACGCTCTTGAGATGAGATTTGGGAAACGACTATAAATACGGACCTTAAATGATTATTGCATAATCATATATTATTCAATTGTTTGTAAGCTATTCTACATAGATTACTGTTGTTTTTGTGTAGAGAGATATATTGACTTGGTTGACTATTGGTCAAACGTATATGGTTTTAAAATGAGCTGTATGAAAGCGGAAGCGTTGCGTGAACCCAGTATAGAGATCTGTAATGTCGATGACTTGATAACGAGCGTCGCCGAGATCCAAGCCTTCGACTTGTATAAAGTCACTACGGATTGCGTCAATTTTTCGTCTCCTTTCACATTGAATGTGAAGAAAACAGGATCATTAACCGCGATAATTGGTTATTTCGACATTTTCTTCGATCTCGACAATCCGGTTCATTTCAGTACAGGTCCCTATTCTACTCCGACACATTGGAAACAGACGGTATTTTCTTTAAGCGAACCCATTAGTATAACTGAAGGTAAGTTATATGTTTATTTAATACAATTATAAATTAATATATATATATATAGTTAATATTGTAATTATAATATTTTGTTCTGTGTGAATGTCATTTTAAAATATCATTTAAAATAAAATTTTATAATTATGATATTAATTGTAATTTTACA